CAGTTGAAGATCGAACTCTGAACAAGTCAGTACCTTTTTGAATTTTACGAATGCTTGTCGAGCTTGCTCAATGCGACATTTTACTTCCCTGTCCGATGCCCAGTCTTCAAAAAGCCACGATCCCAGGTATTTAAATTTACTCACTCTTTCAATGGACTTAGTATTCAGTGTTAAGGTGGAGTTTTCAAGTGCATCCAAGTTTCTGGAGATGATCATGAATTTGGTCTTTTTGGTATTAATCTCTAATCCCATTCGCTTACTGTATTCTCCGATTATAGTGACAAGTTGTTCAAGATCGACTATGTTGTCACAAATTAAGACACCATCATCAGCATATCGTATGTTGTTGATCAATACTTCATTCACTTTGATTCCCATCTCTGCATCCTGCAAAGGCTCTTGAAATATGGCTTCTGAATAAATGTTAAATAAAAGAGGGGAAAGCACACATCCCTGTCGAACCCCCTTCTTATATGTATGGGTGTGGATATATAATTGTCTATTTTTAACTGTGCCATTTGATGCCAGTACAAGTTTTCAATGCATCTTATGTCTTTTTGGTCTATATCAACTTTCTTAAGGATCTGCATTAACTTGTGGTGTTGGACACGATCAAACGCTTTTTGGTAATCTAAAAGGCATAGGAACACATCCTTCCTCTGATCGTAACAATTTTGGACTTTTTGTATTATCTTTAATGTAGTATTTTTAAGAATATTTTTAAAGTGTGACTCATCAGGCTAATGAGTCTATGATCCTCACATCTTTTTGCATTGACTTTCTTGGGCAGGGGAATAAAGGTAGAGCGTAACCACTGTTGAGGATAGCAGCCAGTGTCATAAATTAAATTAAATATTTTGTGTAGTGCTGAAATTCCCCTTTCATCCAGTAATTTAAGTATCTCTGACGGAATTTCATCTGGTCCAGGTGCCTTATTGTTTTTTGAATTTATTATTGCCTTTTCTATCTCCTCTTTGGTGATTGAAGGGCCAGTCACCTGGTCGTCTGTATAAACTTTCGTCTGTGTACACTCATGGGTCTTTCGTCATGAAAGAGCTCCTGGATATAATTTTCCCATATATCAATTTTCTCCTTTTCGCCCAGCACTATCTGGTTATCCTGATTTTAATATGGTAGTTAGTCTTCGTTTTTCTGCATATTTCAGCAGTCTCTTTAAGCTTTTTTTGTAAATTACGGTCGTCGTGCTGTCGCTGTAAATGTTCTAGATTGATACATTGTTGCTTAAGCCATTCATTTTTTGCTATTCTTATTTTTGCTTTTATTTGCCTGTTAATGTTTTATACATATTGCTGCCATCTTGGTCATTCTTGTGTCTTCGTCGTTCTTCCATTAGTAATAGTATTTCTTCTGTCATCCATTTTTGCCTCTTGTTATTTCGTTTGTACTCTAAGTTGTTTTTCATGATGTCTGTTACATCACTTGTAATCGTATTCCATGTTTGTGTTAGATCTTCGGCAATGTTTGTCGTCAATATTTGAATTTATGCGTTTATTTCATTGCTTATTTTCTGCTTGTATCATTGGGTCTTTCAGTTTATCCAGTGCTATCTGTTGTTGAGTTTCAGGCTTGTTCTTGCATGAAAGAGCGAACTTTATGACGGCCACTAATAGTACGTGGTCAGAAGGGACATCTGGTCCAGGGTAGGTGCAAGCTCTTTTGACAGTTGTGCTAAATCTACCGTTGATAAGAATGAAGTCTATCTGATTTTTTATTATGTTATGAGCTCTATCGGCTCAGTAATTTGTAGTAACTTGTACACATCACCATAGTAAAAAAATAAACATTTTATTCACTTTTTGTCGTATATTATTTTATATTATTAAAGTATTATTTTTAAAGTATTATTTAAAGTAGAGTCAGCACATAGTGTTAGGACAAGTGTGCTCGGTGCTTAGACCTTATTTATTCTCATAAGTTTGGATCAACTAATAGCGAAACTACAGGATGGTAACATTACGTGGTGGTTAATCTATGCTAATGAGTTAGTGTTAGTAGGAAATAATGGAGGCGAACAAAAACTGCAACAGTAGAGACAAGTTCTTGAAAAAGAAGGTTTATTTAAATATCGAGTTATTACAAAAAAAAAACGATATATTTGGATGGTGAAATTATTGTGAAAAGTACTGTTTTTTTTTTGTATTTAGAATCGGTATTACAGACTAATGGGAAAATAGTTTCAGATGCATACAGGAGAATTAGGGTTGGATAAATTAAATTAAAGGAAGCGAGTGGTGTTTGGTGTGACAGAAAATTTCCAATGTAGCTGAAAGAACATTTTATAAAACAATTAAAACATAGTTAGCACTAGATATAAAGACCAATTATGATGTAAGGAACTAAATATTAGGTAGTTAAAAAGAAACAATAAATACAAATGCATGTAGAGAAAATGAGACTGCTTAGACGAATGAATGGAGTGACAAAAAATAATAAAATTAAGAATGAGTATATTAGGGAAGTCTAGGGATAGCACCAATTTTTGCCAAAATAAAAGAACATTCGTTAAGAAGGTTATGTTGAACGTGGAGACGTTAATCACCCAATTCGAAAGACCCACTGATCTTTAGGTTCCTGGAAAGAGTAGGAGAGAAAGACTAAAGAAGGCCTGGGGAGATGATTATGCAGAACATGTCGGTAAAGGAGATTGATATTAGTATGACCCAAAAAAGAAGCTTATGGAGAAATGTAAATAGGGAAGCTAACCCCGCATAAAGATAAAAGCAAAGAGAATTATGGATGATTTACATATTTACATTACGTATAAATGTTATGGTACTCTATGAACTGTTACTTAAAATCTACTCACTGCGTTAAAATAAACGGTTTTGTATAATGAAGAAATAAATTCTAATAAATTATGTGGAATTATGTGGAATAATTACTTCTTCTTCGTTTTATGTAGATATGACTCTGTCTATTTTTCAATGTGCCTGTTGTCAGTCGGCTTATATGATCGTTCAATTCGACTTTTATATTTTTACGAACACCCTAACCGAAAAAAAATCCTTGCTAAGTATATACGCACACGATGCATCGATAGCTGCTAGCAGTACCAACCTAGATCTAGCAACAAGGGACCTACAAAGAGAGCTTAAATACTTACAGTATAAGATAACTGTTAACCTTGACAAAACACAGGCAAAAAAGAAGAGGCTTACCAAATGGGTTCTATCCCTATTCAACATCGAATAGTCAAATTAATCCAAATATCTAGGTCTAACGTTGGACAAAAAGCTGACTTTCACAGAATACGTGAAACAAACTGTCAAGAAAGCCAAATTAAGGCCCCAAGAAATACCCTATCCTCTATTTTATTTCTATTATTATTTAGGTTTTTTTATTATTTTTATTTTATTTTAACCAACCAGTTAATATAAACCAAAAAACATATACACGAAAAATTAGATACAAGGTCGGTAACTCGCTGTCTGAAGCACACAATTTGGGAATAAAGTCATTCAAGGAAAGAAAAGCTCTTGTAGGTACCCCTAAAAGCAGGTAGCTTAACCACATAAGGTAAAACAGAGGATACAAAAATTGTTGTGTGTATGTGTGTGATCATTCTCTACAACCTGTTAATGATATAGATATTTAAGACGTATCACCCTCGTTCAATAATAAGTATAATCATATATATATCAATATATATATCATATTAAATCAATATCACGTTGTAACTGTATGCAGTCAAACATATCGGTGCGCCCTTATATTGGAATACTACTTCGTAGTTGGCGGTGAGGTGTTTCAAGGCCAACCGCTCTGTTGTTATGATTCAGGGACGACAAATGATAACAGATAAGACAGTAGTTTTAGTGAAATATAAAAATACGTTTGTTAACAAGTGTAATAGTGGTTATTATAGATATCTATGGCAATTTAGTAGTTTTATTTAACACTAAGACTACATGTAGGTCATTTATCCAGCCGGACTTGGAAAAATATAAAAGAAATGGATCAAATTCCACACTAAATAAACAAATATGTAATACAAAACGAATAGAAGAAAAAGTGTAGGACGCTCTTTAAAAAGATGGAGTAAAGTTTGATTTGAAACAGGCAGCAAATTCTAATCCCTGCAATGAAGAAAAACCTGAAAATTGGTCAATAAATATGACCATAAAAACAACATTTATATTTACACAAAATAAATATTTTACCACAAATACCTGTTTTCATTATTACTCACTGAATTTTTAACAATCTCTGTATTCCCTGTATTTTAAAAGATAATTTCCTTAGAAAAACGTTCGTTTCTTCTAAATTAGTCATGTATCTCTCAGACTATTACGATCCACCTGTAATGTTTAATCATCGGAATCATTATTAACTTTTTAGTTTTGATGAAGACTTGTACGTCATTAACATATTCAAGTCTCGGTCGCCTTTCGACAGACAACACAAAACAGTTAGTATCTTCGCTTCGGTTGGTGGATGTGGGTTGTTTGATAGTACTTAGTATCATTTAATCGTGTATAGTTTACGTATTTCTTTGCAATGGTATCTAGTTCAATGGCTTTATTGTGGAAATCTTTATTATTAGTTACGTGTTTTTTGATAGTGGTTAAATCCCAAGGTTAGTAAACTGTTCTTAAAATTTTTAATTGCTTTAAACATTTTTTTAATATGATTTTAATAGCGTTAATTTTCAAAATTATTTATATTATGGAATACTTTATTTTTACATTGGCTTATTGATTTTATTGCCTTTGTAATTAAATTTCTGGTGATTTATGTATGACTCCTGATTGTTATTGTTGCCTTGCTGTATTCCAAATCGAAATTTTTACTTTTCTGTAACTTTTTTCCGGTGGGATACTAATTAATAAAAGTTCCAGTGGGATATTTAAAGCATGGTTTACCAAAATTAAAAAAAAACACGTGATGGGTGTTTATGAAGTGTGTACCAAAATATGTTTATAAAATTATATGTACCTACTTAACAATAATTTTTACCAATCTTTTATAATATAATCTCTAAGACTATAATAATAGTCTCTTGTATACTGCTAATGCAGCTATGGGATCATAGCAGTTTGGTCTGCTATTTTTTAGGCTTAAGGAATAAAAAGAAGGTAACAGAGTTTTAGTGCTATCCTTCAAAGAATAGAACATTTAAGTCTTACTCTTTAACGGGCAGAACTATTTTTTTTTGTAAAAATATACTTTTGGTGGACAAGTGTAAACTAGGATTTAAAGTTGAGTTTGGTGGAGGTCTAGACTTTTTTCTAAAAATAAAAGTGCTAATTAAATTATCAGCTAGTTCACTGCGGAACTGTAATGCAGTCATAGGCTTAGCACTTGGGTTATTTTTTTTTCAGAGTCTCCTTATATAAAATATAGCTGTATACTATTAATGCGTTTAAATGGTGGTAAAACGTTTTTTACCCACCAAGCTTTTGCTTGATATATCCGAAAATTTAGAAGGTATCTCTTAAGCACATGCGAATTTTCACATTTTAAAGCCTCTTTTTATTGGTTTCAATGGCATGTACTGTTTTAGTAATGTACGCCCTTTGACAGCATACATGCTTTCTGAGCATGTTTTTGAACATAAATTCTTCCATTTCCATAAAAAGTTGCGAATTCTTCTGGGTAACGTAAAGGGTCGATTATTTGGAAATTTTTTGACATATACTTTCACTAAAGAACACTCTGAAGAAGTCGATTTTAGCATTCAAGCCCTTTCTCTTTTGATTACCTCTTAAAGACGACCTCTTGCGCAGGAAACATCAATATCCGCTATTGAACACCACCAGTGACGAATGACGAAACCAGTAGCTCTACATAAACATATAACCATGTTCTGAAGAGGTGACACAATCGCCTAAAACAGGATTTACAATACAATGGATTTACATACAATGATGATGAAATTGGAATCAAATTGCCAGGGTAAGAGTTGGCAACTCGAACACCCAGGTTCAATTTAGGGTATATCTATTATTGGAGAAATATTTAATAATCTTCAATATGTTGTCTGTCTGAGTCCATTTTAAATAGGCAAAATAAATAAAAATAAGCCTTACAATCTATTTATTCTACCACCTACGACCGGTTTCGCATACTATAATTTGCTATGCATCTTCAGACCTTAGGTACAATAGTAAACTAAATGCTGAAATTTTAAAAACTTGTATTAGGGTGCTGTCTGATAAAGAAATTACAAAAATTAAGCCAATATTATATGTCTGTAATTATTAAATAGGATTTAAAATTGAATAAAACATACAAACTAAAAATAAGTGACACAACAAAATATCTAGTAAATTTAAATTAAATAAATAAATAACTAATAAATACTACTTACATGCCAATACAAGGACTATTTAGTGATTTAGAAAACATAATTCAACCTATCTTGGTCAACTGATGATGGGTAATTATCGGTTTTATTGTCACTATTTTAACAAATAGAGGGAAAGTTCTTGAGCGGAGAGATAATAACAAATAAACTAGGAAGTGGGTATTGTGTAGATTGTTTGTTGAAATGAATGTGATGTGTTATATTATTTAAAAGTTATATACATTTATTCAATAGGTCTATTTTGGAAATGTGTTTTAATTGATGGAAATATTTATTTAGAACAGAGAGCTTATGATAATAAATAAAAAAAGAGATCCACAAATTGTACATCTACTATTTTAAATATTGAATAACTTTGCGTTTTGCATACGTAATAATTACGTAGAATAAAATAATAATAAGCTAGCATGTTATAAATACGAATTTGAGCGAACTAAATACTAAAAATGCGATTCAATCGACCTGAAGACATTCTCACGTTCAAGGAAAAAATAATAAATAAATAATAAAATTTTACGTACCAGTAAATAAAATATCACTGTCGTATTAAAAACTGCAATAAAATTACAGATTTCAGTACTGGACACGAATACTTGAAAAAAGTGAAACACCACCCCACTAAATATATTCGATGAAAAACTAATTCTATTAAATAACAAATTATTAAAAACTGACTGACCCGCCGAACTTCGTATCGCCTTAAAATTAAATAATGTATAAAAGTTCAATAAGACCTTCTTTCGAGTCTGTTAAGTAACAGAAATCTCTGGGTAATGAAATGAATTTGGTCGAGTTATCAATAGCACCATTTTCTATATCTAACATTTGCTTGAAAACACAATTATGGCACTCGATCTTTTTGCAAAAACACTTGCATCTTATTTGTCAATTAGAGCGTCCTTATATGCCGCCACACATTGGATGATCTTAGGCATGCGTTGGGTTTATCTGCAGCAGTTACATAATTAGGGAATCATTATTAAATAAGGAATAGTCTGAGTATCGGTCAGATAGCACAGCGGGCTGTGCGGCTGCCTCTCATTCGCTTCACTGTCGAATGGTTTAGTGGATGTGGGTCGAGCCCCAGCTCGGTGTACAGAAAACAAAAAGTCTAACGCAGCAGTTTAAAATTCTAGATGAATCTGCGGCTTAGACTAGGATATGCTGGGTACTGATCGGCCTATGGTGGAGCAGTACGGGAAGAGATAAGGGCTTGTGGCTCGGTGATACTCCTCCATAGATCCCTACCGGACGGGCGTAACGCCTAAAAAACCGGATATATATATATATATATATATATATATATATATATATATATATATATATATATATATATATATATATATATATAGTCTGAGTATAGAACCATTGCTCCACCAAAAATGTTTTTGATTGTCACGAATATCTTTTTAAATTCTGTCCAGTCCCTGTAATGAGCTCTTGTATGTATATCGTTTAAAACTTCTCTACTGCTCCATTTTTGGCGATGTTGCAATCTGATGTTTCATTAATTTGTAACTTTAATTGTAATTTCAAGGCAACATTTTCAATTCGTTCACCTTCCAATAAAGTTGCAGATATTCAATGCTGTTTAAAAATTAGTAATGTTTTTTCTGTGCGTCCCCAGCATCAAGGAAGTAAATTCCACCAGTTCCAATGTTTACATTTTCTATTAAAGATTCGTACGCAATCTTTTGTTGTTGATTTAATTGTAGAAAATTTATATGAACTATTTCGACAAATGCTTCAGTGTTGAACTGTTGTTTTCTTTGAAGTGTTGCTCACTTTGAAAAATATATTAAGCCACAAAAAAACTATGTCTTTATAATAAACTAAAATAAAAAAATTAAAAGAAGGACCAAACCAAAATTTAAGATTTGATTTTAATATATTTTATTTTATTTTCATCTATTCTCTTTTACTTTATTTTATTATATTTTCTTCTTCTCCTTTCTTCTATTTAATTGTATTTAATATTAATTTCAGTATATGGAAAATGAGTTAGTACTCACAATATTATTATTATTTTTTTTTTTTTTTAATGGCATTGACATTAGTCATTCAGCCAGTTGCAATAGATTCTCCAATCAGACAAATGCACAACTCTATCCCTAATCGAAAACTAACGGATAATTAATAGAAGAATATACGACAAGGAAACTTACAGGGTCACTTGCTTCTCGTCTAGGGGCCCATCAAGACATTCTTAGTAGACAAACAAAACTGGACCACGGATAAGGTGTTATAACATTTAGGGTAAACAAAGGATACAAATCTAAATTTCCACACTATCATGAAACATTTCATGCTCGAGTACAAATTCTATAGAACCATGCATGTGTCTGACAAGAAATCTATAATGATATTATATATATTTTGTGAGCCTGTCGCCAGTAGCGACTGAATATTGAATGGTGCATACATATTAAATTCGATTAATTTTTTGTAGAGAGAGTTTGAATGCTGTTGAAACTTAGGGCATTCAAAAAAGATGTGATCAAGATCACCCAGTTTTCCGCAATGTTCCTGCAATTATCATCTTCAATCTCATTTATTTTATATAAATGACTTGGATAACACGCATGTCCAAAGCGTAGTCTATTTATGGTGGTTATATATTTACGTGGAGATTTAAAATTCGTAAACCAAGTAGTTTGTGGAATAACTGGTTGTAAAGTAGTGTATCTTGTTTGGTTTGTAAGGCAGTAAAGATTCCATTGATCTTTCCATGTCGCTAGCTGGTTTTTTTTAAATATCCTAATGGCATCTGATACACATAAAGAATATGGTAATAAAGTGCCTGATATTGTACTGGTTTTAGCTAAGTAATCTACATATTCATTATCTTTGAGTCCAATATGTGCCTTAACCCAAATAAATTTTATATTAAAGCCAGAGTCTACTAAGTGCTTTAATTGATCTTTTATTAGAAAAATATAAGGATTACTAAATGTTTTGGGCAAAAAAGTGTTTTTTATGTTCTGTAGAACTGAAAGGCAGTCTGAAAGAATTAACGATTTTTTAATATAAGAGTTTTTAACATATTTCAAAGCTTCGAGTATAGCCAATGATTCCGCCGAGAAAATTGAAAACTCCTTGGAAAGTTTGTACTTAAATTCAGAACCTCCTGAGGGTAGAAAATAGGCACAGCCAGTCCCTTCTATTGATTTGGATGCGTCCGTGTATATAACTGTGGCATCACTATAACAGTTCAAAACAGATCTCAGAATATTGTTGCTCAATTTGTTGTTGTGACTATATGTGGGTAT